ATGTATGAGAGGGTTAACACGGGGACTGGCCACATGATGTATGAGAGGGTTAACACGGGGACTGGCCACATGATGTATGAGAGGGTTAACACGGGAACTGGCCACATGGTGTATGAGAGGGTTACGGAGGCTGAGAATTCCCAGGACAGGCTGTCTGCAAGCTGGAGACTGTGGGAAGCCAGTAGCGTGGCTCAAGCCGAAAGCCTCAGCACCCATTGCGAGATGGGAGGGGACAGGTGTAACTCTCACTGCAGGTTGAAAACCCGAGGAGCCAGGGGCCACTGGTGTAAAAGTCCTGGAGTCCAAAGGCTGGAGAGCCTGGAGCTCTGCATCCGGGGCAGCAGAAGAGAGCTGTGTCCCACAGGGGACCCGATGCTTTTGGCTCGAGCAGTTGTGGCAGGCCAGGAGGTGCCGCACCCAAGGACCATTGAGCACTGCTTCCCAGGGACAGTGCAGTCCTTGCCCTCACAGGTGGGGCTGGCGGTCAACTTCCACCCAGGAAAACAAGGACAGGTCACCAGAGGCACCAGTTTGCCACCGTGACAGCCCTGGGGCAGGCGAGGGCTCTCCTGAGCACATGTGGTTTTCAGTGTCTCCCTTCACCCACCCCGAGGCTTCTGAGGCCTTTCACCCCAAGGCCACAGCCTCCAGCCTTCATTTCAGCAAACACCTTTGGCCAGAGGTGAGCTCAGGCAGGAGACTGTGAGAGTGAGCGAGAGGGGCCCCTGTGCTCCTCCACCCCAAGCCCCGTCGCCGGGCCCACGGAGGAGGGAGCACAGGCCCTGGCCAGGCACAGATGGCAGCACCGTCCTGGAGACAGACTCACGCCACTGTGCCCTGTCCAGGCCTGGTCCCTGCTGGACCTTGTGCACGTGACAGGCTGGGACTCAGGGAGGAAGCATGACATGGAGGCCAGGGCCCCCCACCCCGACTTCCCTCCCCGCCCCCCGGCTCCGAGCCTGTGGCAACTGAATGTTATCAGGACCCAGAGGGATCAAAGAATTCCGTGGAAAATTACTCAGCTTCATGCGAACTTGCTTCTATTTGGGGCAAGGACATTCTAGGCAGGAAACGAAAGTCTTGATAGATTTGATGATACAAATGTCAACCTTCTGCATAAGGGAATTTAAAAGTATATGGAAAACGAAAATATATGACAAGGGCTTGTCACATTTAATAAAGAAGTAATTGTTCGGTTTCTCAAAGGCAGCTTTTAAAATTAAAAAAGGAGAAAACAAATGGGAAAAATACAAAAAGAGACAAACTCGGGAAAGAATTTTTTAAAATGAGTAAGAAGCGGCTGTCATCATTGTTATGTGCAAAAATAATAGGAAGTGGGGACTTTTTTCTTTTTTTGAGACAGAGTTTTGTTCTTGTTGCCAGGCTGGAGTGCAGTGGTACAATCTCAGCTCACTGCAACCTCTGCCTCCCAGGTTCAAGCAATTCTCCTGCCTCAGCTTCCCAGGTAGCTGGGATTACAGACATGCACCACCACACTCGGCTAATTTTGTATTTTTAGTAGAGACGGGCTTTCATCATGTGGTCCAGCCTGGTCTGGAACTCCTGACCTTGGGTGATCCAACCACCTTAGCCTCCCAAAGTGCTGGGATTACAGGCGTGAGCCACTGAGCGCGGCTGGCAGTGGGGACTTTTGATTCATAAACAAAGAGGAAAAAGTGACCTGTACGGATCAGAATGCCCAGCCTCACCACCAATAAAAAAGAAATCACAGAGCAAGGAGACATTCCTGAGCCCAGCTTACGCATAAGCCTTCTTGTTTTATTTTGTTTTCAATCATGAAAGCCAGCTTCGTGTGGGGGCTGGGAGTGAGCGTCCAGGCCAACTGCAGTGGCCCTGGGTCCTTCCGGAAGGCGGTGAGCTAATGTGGGCTCAGAGCTTCAGACTGCTCCTAGTCTTTGACCCCGTCATGCAGTTTTAGAATTCTACTGAAAGGAAGAAATCCGAGATATAACCTGTGCATACGACTTTGTTATTCTTAATTAGGAAAACGTAGGCAGGGAACAGAAAAAACTGGCAGGTGACGGGCAGCCACTGTCTCCCTCAGACCCGTGAGCAGAGCCGGAGGCCAGGATTCGGAGGTGAGGAGGGCCTAGGGCCAGCAGGACAGGGGCAGAGGGAGCCACAGCGAGGGGCCCTGGGCCCCAGGGCTGGACCGTGGGACGCCTCCCCCGCCCAGCAGGAGCAGGTGCTGCCTCCTGGGGCAGGGACAAGCTGGGGTCAGCCTGAGTCCAAGTGCCCAGGGTGCCCATGCCACAGGTGAGAGGGCCCCATCGGAAAGGACCTAGCTTTAGCCGGGCGCTGTGGCTCACGCCTGTGATCCCAACACTTTGTGGGCTGAGGTAGGAGCATCGCTTGAGGTCAGGAGTTCGAGACCAGTACAGCCAATATGGAGAAACCCTGTCTCTACTAAAGGTACAAACATTACCTGGACGTGGTGGTGCACACCTGTAGTCCCAGCTACTCAGGAGGCCAAGACAGGAGAATCGCTTGAACCCGGGAGGCGGAGGTTGCAGTGAACCAAGATCGAGATTGAGCCACTGCACTCAGCCTGGGTGACAGAGCCAGGCTCCATCTCAGAAAAAAAGAGGAAAGAAAGGACCCAATTTCTAAGGACCTGAGAAAACGTCACAACCCACTGTTAGGCCCAGAGAGAGCCCACCACCTGACCTGGACAGACGCCTCATGGCTGTCCTCAGAGGACGCGCACCCCACAGCCGCACCTTCTACAGGCCACCTCCAGCGGGACATGCCCCAGCTCACAGTGCAGAAAGGCTCTAACCCCTGAGCTGGGCTTTCACCCCCACCATATGGCCCCGCCTGTTCATCCCGCCAGACACTGTCACCACCCCCACCCAGACACCCTCACCACCCCCACCTCAGACACCCTCACCACCCCCACCTCAGACACCCCACCACCCTCACCTTGGCCACCCTCACCACCCTTACCCCAGACACCCTCACCACCCTCACCCCAGACACCCTCACCACCCCCACCCCAGACACTCACACACTGAGCTGCAGCTGCACCATACTCCCTGCCCACCTGTGCCCACACCTGTGTCCACACCTATGCGGCGTGGGGAGCAGGAGCCTCACATGAGCCCCAAGCCAGGGGCCATCCCAGCCACACACACTCTCACACCCAACCCCTCTCACCAGGCACTTACACATCAAGTTAAGGACAACACTGGCTTGTCCCCATCGCCTCCAGGCTGGAAGCTCCCGGACGCAGGGCAGGGACAGTTTTATTCACCAAAGGCCAGGACCCAGGCTGTGCTGAGGGAAGAGAGCATGCAATGGGTCGACTTTCTGAGGAAGGGAGTTTGGGGAGATGATTTAAAGGGAGTCTCTAGCTTCCTGACCCTCCACAGAGCTGTACTATCTCACTCTGCCACAGCACATATTCGTATGCGGCACTGCTTTGAATTTAAAACTATTTATTAGAAAACACGAGCCAGCACCCCTGACTGCACCAGTTTGCTTTCTAGTGTGATAAAGTGCCCAGTGTTCAAGTCTGCAGCCCCCCAGGTCCCCCGGAGACCCCCCGTTGGGAATTTCTTTGTTGAGGTCAGAGTTCTGCTCTGTGGAACCACATGGATACCGGGAGGGTGGTGGAGGCCCAAGGTCCTTGGTCAGCCCACACTGCGATGACTGGGGCAGCCTGCGTGGGGGGGTGGCTGGGCAGCTTCTTTGACCCTGCTGTGCAGATGGAAGCTGGTGGCTGGAATCGGGGTATGTGAGGTACCCCACTTCTTCCCGTGCCCAGCCCCTGGGGCTGAGGGCAGCCTACAGCCTCTTGGGCATGAGGAGAGTGGCAGTGCCCCCTGCTGGTCCACACAGTGACTACACTCCCCGGCACCCAGCCAAAGCCCATCTGTCCTCCCAACCACCCCTCCCCCAAGCTGGGTGCTGGGCACACAGGCTTCAAGGACCCCACAGCATATTAGATGCTCACCAAGTGCCATTCCAGACCCAGGGACAGGGCACTGGTCATTAGAGCTGTCTGAGGCTGTGCCTGGCCGCCCTGCAGGGACTGGGTGGGTGGAAACTGTGCAGAAGGAGGGCAGAGACTTCCACTGGAGACCCTTTTGATGACTCCCTGGAGATTCAGCTATGGAATCATTTCCATTAGAAATCAGCTCCTGGGACGTGGTTCATAGGGTCCCCTGAAGGTGGGAGGGCCCCATGCCCACGCTCGGCCTGAAGAGGCTCCTGCCGGAGAAAGTCAGTAACCCCCCCCACCACGACACTGACCAACGTCTGCACCCACGGCATCCCTTGACCAGCTGCAAACACTCAACTCACAGGAACAGCCACTGCTGGGCGCTTGAAGTGCACGTCTCAGCAGAAAGCCCAGCCTGGGGCCAAGTGTGTCCCAGAAGCCTGCTGGTAAGAGGGACCGTTTCATCTCAAGAGCCCCTGTGTGCTTGAGGGACAACTGGGGTGCTGAGGACACAGGCCACACCAGCATCCCTGTAGCGGGATGCAGTCAGCCGGGTTATGCCCTGCCCCTGGGCTATAGCTGTGGAAGAGCCTGGCTTTGTGAGGAAGGTGGCCCCACCCAGCCCCACCCCAGCGCTGGGAAACAGCGGGGAAGCCACCTGTGTGCTCATCCTCTGGGAGAGAGGGCATGGGAAAGCCCTACAGGGAAGCTTTGGTGAAGTCTTCTCTGTTCACAAATGCACATTTGGGGGTCTCCACTGAAGGGCCTGGAGGTGGGGGTGCGCTATCTTAGGGTTTTGGGTCTCTAAGGAAAAAGCCAACTAACATACTCAGGGAACAGGCAGTGATGACTCTCATGAGGTTTTTTAATTAAAGGATGTGCAGATTAACACACTGACCAAGACCAGAGGCCTGGGCTTGCAGGCAGTGGCGGGGGGCATTGGGGAGTACCATTGGTGCCCAGCCTCCCAGCTGGACAAAACCTGACCCTTGGTCTTCCTGTTCTGCAGTGCTCTGGAAGTCCAGAGTGGACTGGAGTTCATAGGAGCTGAGATTCTGTTTGGGGTTAATGCATCCGCCTCCAGGAGGGCATCCCCCAGGGTGCAGACCCTGGGGACACCATGTCCTGGGGGAGCCGGGGGTGCTCAGCAGCCTGGCACTTCCCACATCAGCCCCTGCTGCCACCAGAGCTCACTCACACGGTGCTGGGGTGCCCCTGTCCCCAGGTGGGCAGCCGTTCCTCCCCTGCACACAGACCAGGAGGGCCCGCCACAGGGTTTCTGTTTGCCAATGGTCTTGGGACCCAACTTAGAGCAGCACATGTCAGCATGATCCCAGGTTCTCAGGAGGACCCAGCCTTGGAATGCAGGTGAAGATGAAGGCTGGAAGGCAACGGTCTGGGCGGCCGGAGGTGCCTGCCTCGGCACCTGGCGTCCTTAACAGGTTTGCAGCTGTGGCCGCCTAATTGCGCTATCCCGGAGAGGCCAGCAGGTGGCCACCTCTCCCGGCTGCAATCACCATGCAGCACCCTGGACAGCGGCAAAGGCCCTGAGCAGATGCAGCCCCACTGTCTCCTGCAAAGCCCACAGGCGTGTCCGTTCGCTCCTGGAATCCTTCCAGTTGGAGGTGCGGCCCAGAGAGGGCAAGTGCCCTGCCTAAGGTCACAAAGCAAGTCCGCGGCAGACTCCCAATCCCTTCTTGAGCATTCCCGGGGCTGAGCCCACTGCTATCTGTTGAGGCAGGCAACGCAGATGCTGAGCGCCAGCAGCCCCCAGCTGACTCTGAGGCTCACTGTGCTGTTGCAGAGATCCGTGTTGCAGCAAAAGGCCCTGGAGGCGGCCAGGCTCTCTTGGTAGCCAGGGCAGCTGTAAGCACATGATTTTATAACAATCGTTTCATGACCTGGGGGAGCTGAAAAACAGAGGGCAGAGGGCTGTTTTTTGAGGTCCGTGAAATTCACTCCTGCCCCTTTTGGTGGGCAAAGCCTGCCTGACTCTTCCTCATTGTTCTCCCACCTTATAAGGATGGACAGCAAGAGGCAAGTACAGCCAGGGCTCAGTGTGTGATCAGGACCAAGGCTCAGTGTGTGACAGGGACCAGGGCTCAGTGTGTGACAGGGACCAGGGTTTAGTGTGTGACAGGGACCAGGGTTCAGTGTGTGACAGGAACCAGGGATCAGTGTGTGACAGAGACCAGGGTTCAGTGTGTGACAGGGACCAGGGATCAGTGTGTGACAGGAACCAGGGTTCAGTGTGTGACAGGAACCAGGGCTCAGTGTGTGACAGGGACCAGGGCTCAGTGTGTGACAGGGACCAGGGCTCAGTGTGTGACAGGGACCAGGGCTCAGTGTGTGACAGGGACCAGGGCTCAGTGTGTGACAGGAACCAGGGTTCAGTGTGTGACAGGAACCAGGGCTCAGTGTGTGACAGGGACCAGGGCTCAGTGTGTGACAGGGACCAAGGCTCAGTGTGTGACAGGGACCAGGGCTCAGTGTGTGATAGGAACCAGGGTTCAGTGTGTGACAGGAACCAGGGATCAGTGTGTGACAGGGACCAGGGTTCAGTGTGTGACAAGGACCAGGGCTCAGTGTGTGACCAGGGTCAGGGCTTATAGTGTGACCAGGTCAGAGCTCAGTGTGTGACCAGGGTCAGGGCTCAGAGTATGACTGGGACCAGGTCTCAGTGTGTGACCAGGACCAAGGCTTAGTGTATGAGCAGGGCCCGGGGCTCAGTATGTGACTAGGGTCAGGCTCATGTTTGAGCAGATTCCAGGTCTTACACACTCTCCCACTTTTCTCCCTGTTCCTTTCTGAGCAGCCTGTAACCACTGTTCAGCAATTACAAGGATTTAAATCAAGCATTTCCTGTGCGCCAGCACTGTGGGGGCATCTCATGTGGAATATCTCCTCTGCTCTAAGGACCTTAGGATGGAGGCAACGTGCCATTCTCATTTTGGAGGGACGGGATGGAGGGACAGCAGTTGTGGCATTTGCCTGAGGCACTGCTTGCAAACATGAGCTCTGACTAGAAGACAGTCTCCCCAACCCCTTTGATCTCCCCGATACTCCCCGCCCTCCGGCTGAGGCCCAGGCACACTGCCCTGCCTGCCTGCCCACCCAGAGGGAGTCACTCACTGGTCAAGGTGGTCAGGCAGTAGCGGGTGTCATCTCGGCAGACTGTGGGCTGGAAACAGTCCCCTGTGGCAGAGCACTCATGGCAGGTCAGGGCCTGGGCTGGGGAAGGCACAGCTGGTGGTCAGAGACCAAGCCCTGGTCCCCGCCCAGCCTCCCACATCACAACCGCCAGGCACATGGACTCTGCTTGTGGGAAGGCGCCAGCTTACCAAGCCCTGCACCCCGTCCTTCACCCGCCCACCCATGTGGACACCGGGTCCTGCCAGTGCTACGCTCTGTGGAGTACACACAGGCTCAGATAAAGCACACACAGGCTCTGCTTTCCCGGGGCGAGAAATCACCTGGGGCAGGGAACCAAAGCTCTGAGAGGTCCAGGCTACCAGGCAATCCCCAGCACCCCCGGAACCCCTCAAAGCCCACCAGGCCAGTGGGGGCAACCCTCTGCAGGACTGGGCAGAAGCAACAGTGCCTCTGGGTGAGTCAGGAGGACGGAGGGGGCAGGCAGCCCAGGGGCTGGAAATGGGGCCGAAGGTCCAGGCTGTGACCCTGTGCTTGCTGAGGTCCAGGCTGCACCTCCTGTGGGGCCTCTGGTGAGTCCTGCCCTCTGTGCCCCAGCTTTCCCTTCTGGCCAGCATGGGTGCCTGACCACAGAGGCCAGTCCAGCTAGGCCAGCCCAGGCCGTCACAGTGGCGCCGGCATCCCCAGGGACCCAGGGGACCCACAGCAAGGTTGCGCATCAGCCCACCTGAGCACACCAGCAGCAGAGGCAGCAGGCAAGACAGGTGGGTCCTCATGGCTGGGGTGACAGGTGTGCAGGTGTGGCCCGTCCAGAGCTTGAGCTGTCTGGCCTGGATCTGGCCAGCCGGGCTTTATAGAGCCTTCTCCAGCTGTGGCTGGGGTGGGGCAGATGTGTCCCTCCCTGTCTCCTGACCCCATCCCAAAGTGTGATATCACCTGAGGTGTGGTTGGAGCAGTAAATACTTCAGGGAGCACACCCTGCTCCTAAGCTCCCCGATGCCCAGGCCTGGCACCCGTGCCCTGGAGAGACACTCAGTCCCCCCTTTGCCAGCCTCCTGCCTACACACCTCCCCACCACGGCATGCAGGGGTCAGCAGCACTGCTGTCTGCTTCTCCTTCGGATGCATCACCCAGGGGTGCCCTCGGCTCGGCCACCATCACATAGGCCATAGGCCAGGTGCCAGAATGGCAGCAGTGTGCAGCTCACAGCTCTGGAGCTGGGAAGTTCAAGATCAAGGTGGCAGCAGGGCTGGTCCCTCCTGAGGCCTCTCTCCTTGGCGTGGGGATGGCATATTCTCCTGCGTCCTCACACGGTCATCCCTGGGCACGTCTATGTCCTCATCTCCTCTTCTTATTGTGGGAGGTAGAAAGCTCCCTTTTAAAGTTTCCTTTTTTGTTAAAGAATAAATCGTAAGTGTGCTAATAACTTTGTTAAGCCCTATCCTATGTACCTGTTAGACATGCCACGCTTACAGGCATGTAGTACACTCTATGTCCTTGTACTTTAACCAGGATACCAGTGCTGGATGTGCTCACAGGCATGTCCCAGCTCTCCATTGCTTTTACCTGTTTAGAAAAGCTTTAAATTGTTAGCCAATCGGGTTTTAGTTTAGATTGTGAGATCTGGCTCCAGCCAACGGAGGTCAGACACCGCAGTGAGGAGGACCCCAAACGCATAAGGGATAAATGTGTGTGTTTTCCCTTATTCATTGTACTCATGTGGCACAATAGCTAGTGAGAGTGCCCCTCCTGCAGTCCAGGAAGTAAAAATTGCGTTGCTTTTCAGTGCTAATTTTTCTTTTGCGGCACTGAGCATCTATTTCCAATATCTATTTTCTTTGTTTTTTATTTATTTTTTTTAAATTTTATTATACTTTAAGTTCTGGGGCACATGTGCAGAACGTGCAGGCTTGTTACATAGGTGTACATGTGCCGTGGTTGTTTGCTGCATCCATCACCCTGTCATCTACATTGGGTATTTCTTCTAATGTTATCCCTCCCCAGTCTCCCCACCCCCTGTTCCTCCTCCTCTAGCCCCCCAACCTCCAACAGGCCCCAGTGTAAAGACACCAATCAGGTTAGGTGAGGGCCCCCTGTATAATCTCATTTTAACTTAATCACCTATCTAAAAACCCCATCCACAGGCAGTCTCACTGAGGCACTGGGGGTCGGAACTTCAGCATAGGAATTTGGAGGAACACAATTCTGCCCTAACACAGGGAGAGAAAGAAAGGGGTCATTTCCCTGTGCTCAGGTGTGAGCATGACAGAGGTGATCACCGAGAGCCCCATGGGGGCAGGTATCCTTGTTCCTAAGATGGGACCAAAACCCACACTTGGACTCCATGTAGCCAGGAGACCACTGGTCACATCTGGGCCGGCAGCACTCTGCTTCCATTAAATGAGTAAATATTCACGATTTACAGTGACAGGAAGTTGTCCTTTCTTCCTGACTACCAGGATTCCAGGTGTGAGCTTTAGTCCCATTTTATGGACAAAGAAACTGAAGGCCCAAGGACTGCCAGGTGGGGACTGCCAGGTGGGGGCTTCCAGGTGGGGACTGCCAGGTG